TGTAATTCACACAAATCATCACTTTTCTTTTACTCTCTATATGTAATTCACACAAATCACCACAGGAGGGCACAGTTTTTTAGACTTTATTTGCAACGGTGTGATTCATACAAATCACCACAGGAGGGCTAAAATAATTTTAGATCTGACTTTTTTTGCATTTATATAGAAAGACGATAGGACAACACAATTCACAACACACACACACACACACACACTGATACAGTTGATACAAAGAATAACTTAAAAATAAAAACATTTTTTTATAAGAATAGATCTGAGTAGTCAATGAATTATTAATCAATGACGATAATCTTTTACATACGCTAAGAACTTTAAACTTGAAATCTAAAACAACATAATTGACTCACAGGCTCAGCGTATAGTTGTCAACCTTACCAACCAGAAAGTCCTGTTTCAGATCCATGTATGTTAAAGTTATTCATCATTTAACACAAAACTCTGGATCAAACCGGTTGAAAATGCTCTTCATCTCAGCAGACTCAGTGGCTCAGGAGAGAAAGAGTTGTGTTTCGATCACAGCGTCCTGAGTTCAAGTCCCACTATTGCTGACTTTCAATAGTTCTCATTAGACAAGGAGCCCCAAAAAACAGCCATAAATGTGAAATCCATGATGGGTGAGCGGATTAACACACACTCTCTGAGGTCAAGACTGATGAAGACACAGGTTTGAATCTTCACTTTTTTGAAACTGCTTTATTGGAAACTCTCAGGATAATAGTGAAATATAAGTTCCAGCACATCATCAGCAAGAGATCTGTGGCTCACAGGTAAGAGCGCTGCCTCACGGGTTCAGAGGTTGCTGGTTTGATCCCAGCCAGATCTCCGCGATAGGAGTGGATGTTGTGTGAGTGGCGCGCCCAAAGGAGGGGGATACCAGTACGGTCTCCCCCCGGAGCTTCCGGGACAGTCAGCAGCAGGGGTTATGCTTTTTGGAAACAAGGACAAAAAAATATTTTTTTTTATATAAAAATTTCGCCTCCTCGTCCCTTCCCCACCCGCTTAGGTTCCCATCATTTGCTTTTCAAAGGGGGAGGCCCTTCAAAAAGAAAATGATGGGAACCTACATGTTTAGCACAGTAAAACATAAGCATGTACATTACCTGTCCATCAGCAGAAGTCCATCATTACAGTCAATGTCTGTCCACACGTCCCACAGCTCTGCTTCTGATGACTGGATGTAATGGTCCAAACACATTCCTTCTGTAAGGAAAGACATGAAAAAAAAAGATTTTTTTTTTTTTAAAGATTAAAAAGATAGTTTTAGAAATACTCTATATTATATATTCTACATCTATAAATGAGAATGTGAAAGTTAGTCTAAAGACTAATCAATAGAAGGAAATGGAATAAATTAAAAGTCTAAAGTTGTACAGTGTGAAAATATATAACTATTATATTAATATAGTATAGTTCAGTAAGGCTGTATCAATAATAATCTTTTAATTCAATTCAAATTAGGTGTACTTTCCTTCAAATAAACACGAATAATTGAAAACAAAAATTGTATTGCTTAATGTTATTTTTTGTATTTTTTTTTTCTTTATTAATGTTATTCATAATAATTATATTTTGGGAAATCAGAGTGTGTTTTTGTATGCATTTGTTGAGGAGAGATTAGGGATGAGCTATAGTTTAGTTTGCATAGAAGTATTGTGTGCAATGACACATCAATGTAACACAAAAATAAACAAGAAATCTCTTGACAAAATAAGTCAAGTCAAGTCACATTTATTTATATAGCGCTTTTCACAATACAGATTGTATCAAAGCAGCTTCACACTGATAACATGAAAGTAGCACAACACAGATCAACAACATTGCTAAACACTAAATAATCCCAACTGAGCAAGCTCAAAGCAAGCCAAAAGCAAGGCGACAATAAAATAACTGGAGTAGCTTCCGTGATTCAACCATAATTGGGACTAAATCCTAAAAGGCTGGTTTCCTGCACACGGTTTTAACCCTGTTCTGTTCTGTTCTGGACTGTATGTATGATGGTTTTCATTAGAAGTAAAATCACTAAAGCTCTACACAAGCATGAAGCAGCAGAAACATCAGAGCAACTGACTCTATTAACAAACATTAATCCAGTATATTACCTACAGTAAGACTACAATAACATGAACACACACAAAAAACAGCATTCCTTATCATTCTGATTAAAAATGTAAAGCAACACCCAATTAATTTGCTTGTCTAAAGGTCTGAGAGTGTGTTCAGAAAAATAAGAGTTTTTCTCTTTTTATAGAAGACGCGAATGCTTCCATAACAAGCTTAAAAAACATTTAGTTTACAGACACCATGAACATTACACTGACGAGCCCTGCTATGATGACATTTCAGCAGAACGATGCATCAGTGAAAAATATAATTATACAAAACATTAAGCGTCACGATATCATTTTACAAAAGAAAATTAACTTTATGTCCAAAGTTACTTACCGAGAAGTTAAATGACACTCAATTCCACATGTTATCGGACTGTATGTCGGTGTATTTGCTGAAATATGTCCAGTTGTGTGCCTGTCATCTGCACATGTTGTAGCGTCTGTCATCAACAAGCGTCAGTGTTGCCAAGGACCCGAAGGAGTCGCTCTGACAGTGAGGCCCGCTCACGCCGCCTAGTGGAGCGGATGAAAACTGCGCTTCGGTTTCTGTCATTCTGATAAATAAACATAAAAGTGTTGCGCCCTCCTGTGGTGATTTGTGTGAATTACACCTTTCCAAATCGAGTCTAATAAATATAAAACTGTTGCTCCCTCCTGTGGTGATTTGTGTGAATTACACCATTGCAAATCGATTAGAAAAAGTGTTTCGCCCTCATGTGTTGATTTGTGTGAATTACACCATTGCAAATCGAGTCTAATAATCATAAAAGTTCCAGATCAGGTAATAATTACCTGACCTGGAGGGCGGGCGGGGTATGACACATCTTCCAGTCATTTCCTTTTATTTATCGTTTATGATTATTTTTATTGTTTTCCTTGTATGGAAGTAATGTTAGGGTTATTTTGAAAATGTCTGCTCATGATTGAATCTGCATCATTTGAGTTACATGCACAAAATGTTTTGTTACACTTATGTGGGAAAAAATATTCCAAACCATTGGAAAAAAACAAAAACAAGTTGTAACATATATACAAACAATCACACAAATGGCCATTAACAACTTTATTATCAAACTCAAACTGACATACATAACTTGCAAATAACATTTGTTTTGTATGTTTATTTTTTCAAATGAACTTTGCCACATTTTATGCAAAGCAATCCAACACACCAGCCTGTGTGATTTCCAGCCTATTTGTCCAATAACCCAATATTTTGGAAAAGAACTAACCCCGGCCTTCATGCAATGAGCTGCAAGTGGACAAAATCCCACCTGCAATCTATTGAGTGGGGATTCAGACAGTTTTATTTTTGATGGACATTTCAAATCAAGTTCCTGACATGATGAAAACCATGCATCTGCACTCAGCTAGGGCCCCTGAGTCCGTAGCACCAAGTGCCATCCCATAATTCCACCGTCCACGAATCCACTATTTTTATCATGGCATAAATACTACGTGGGATGTCCATATCTCAAGTCTGGAAGGGTCTAGAGCCTCCATTTTTGCACTCATGTCTAAGTCTCATGGCCCTCTATCAGAATCCAGAGTTTCGAGAAGATTGGAGAAACTCAAAATTTCGACCCAAAAAAACCTGTCGACTTTTTCGGTGGAAAAAAAAAAAAAATTTTGATCTTCTTGAAACTCTGGATTCTGATTGAGGGCCATGAGACTTAGACCAGAGTGTAAAAATGGAGGCTCTAGACCCTTCCAGAGCTGAGATATGGACATCCCATTGCATAATCAGTTCTGCAGATGCAGAATCGAATAGCAGAAATCGCTACTATAAAATGAACCATGGTTTTAAAACACTAACCTTAGTTTACCATGCTGTTTGTTTTACCAATAATGAGGTTATAGCTACAAATGATAGCCACTTAGTACTACACTTTTACTAGTAAAACCATGGTTAACTAAAGAAACGTTAGTCACAAAAACAGATAAAACAGACACCCCTCGTTGTGTTTATGCTTCTTTTTAAAATGACATTAAATGAACATAAGTATATAAAATTACATCTAACCGCATGTACGTTTCATTTCAAAGACGGGAGGACAGTACATTTTGAAGACTCTGCCATAATCCCGTTTTCCTCGGTTTTCCTCCGTTTTAATCTACACAACCGGAAATGGACAATCATCCTTGCGTCAAATGCGGAACTTATGCGTGCATATATATAGCCCATTGTCGTAAAGGGGTGATGACAAGGCCCAGCTACAAGTATTGTATCTTTAGAGCTTTTGTTGTTCCTCTTGAGCCGTGTGGTTTGATCAGGGTTTGATCTTATTTCAATAAAGAGTCGCACATGTACTTCTTTTCACGTGGTACCCGTCTCTTTCCTCAGGGCATGGTCAGGGAGAACTAGTCAATCATTTGAGACTACTACACATACACACTAGCCTGGCCTTAGGTTGCGTCTAGATTATAGGCAACATATACATGCGTGTGTGTGTCTGTGTGTATACAATTATTCTGTTACATATAAAATATACTAAAAAAGAATAGTAATAATGTGTACAAACATACTCAATAAGACAAAACAAATTCTGTTTGTTTATTATATTGTTAATTCTTATTAACTTTTTATATTCTTTCTAATTTTAGACTATTTACTAAATTCAGGGAATGTTCCTGTAACTCAAATCTGAATGTCACTCTAAAGTCTTACTGAATGACCAGCAGGAATCTGGTTATTCACACATGTACTGAAAGAGAGCAGATTCATGGAGGGTTACAGCAAAAAAAGATCCTGGGCCGACCTGAAAAGCCAGTTGTGGATGAGACCCATTCTCCCATGAGCCGTCACTAAGACAACCCCAGATAAACAACAGCTCACAACAAAAGACCTCACAGAGGGGACACATTGGAGAGAAACGGCAACTCTCTGGCAGGACATGCCTTTGGGTAGCTGAATGCAAAATCACGTTAAATGAGTTTAAAATAGGAAAACTTCAAGGGGAAGTTCAGAGTATTTCTGTTTTCGAGTGCATTCAAGCGTCCAACTATTGTGTGAGAGGAAGGCACTCAATGATGGTAAGAAATGTTTCACTTCCTTCAATGTTTTACATTTTCATTAAAGACCAAAAGATATATATATATATATATATATATATATATATATATATATATTTTTTAATGATTTCTTTCCCCAAATCTCATAATATGAACTTCATAGCCTTCAGGCACTAAGAAGAAGTCAAAACCTCAAAGTGCCAGACCTGCAACAAAGAGCAAAGGAAAGCGCTCTTCCAAGAAGAGGTCTGTCAGTGCCAAATCCACAAAGACAAGTGTGGATATTTTGAGTCCAGCAGCCATGGAGAATATCTACTACATCTCCCATAATGCAGTGGACTGCTTGGAGTTCAGAGGATTTGGCTGGCCTGGGGCCACCAAGAAGAAAGGAAAAAAGGGCAAAAAACAAAAAAGCAAAAAATGACATGTAGATTTGTGCCAATTAAACCTTAATTATGCATGTATGCATTACTGTTCAAAAATTTTAGATTAGTAATTAAGTTAATTACTAAAGTTAATTACTTTTAAAAGAAGTCTCTTATGCTCACCAAGGTTAAATTAATTTGATCCAAAATACAGCAAAAACAGTAATATTGTGAAATATTTTTACAATAAAAAAACATTTGTTAGTTGAACATTTGTTACCCAACAACATCTGTTAATTACAAAAGCTTTCCATTTCAGATAAATGCTGTTGTTTTGAACTTTCTATTCATCAAATAATCCTGAAAAAAAGACAAATTGTTCACAACCATTTTCAACATTAAAAAGAAATCTTTCTTAAGCAGAAAATCAGCATTTTAGACTGATTTCTGAAGGATCATGTGACACTGAAGATTGGAAAAATGATGCGGAATAAATAAAAATTAAAAAATATATTAAAATTGAAAACACTAATCTTACATTTAAAAAAAAATTCACAATATTCCTGTTTTTTTTTTTTTTGATCAAATAAATGCAGCCTTGGTTAGCATAAGAGACTTCTTTTAAAAGAAGTAAGTAGTAAGAAATCTTACCGACCAAAAACTTTTGAACGGTAGTAGTGTAAAGTGTCAATTCTTCAAACTGTCAGTTGTTTTCACCTTTCTTTTTGGATTATCCTATTATATAAAAATTGCAATCTAATAAATGTGTATTCCTTCAAACTGGTTTTCAGAAACTTTATTAAAAGGTGTTTTAACACAAGCTACACTTAGGCTCGGTTTACACCTGGTATTAAGATTCAGGTGTAAATCGGAACACCTGAAGAATTCAGGACAGAAGTGTTTGGAAGTGGACAAAAGAGATGGATTAAAACACCAGGTGTAAACAAGAACATCAGTGGATCGGAACACAAGTAAACCAGGGAGTTTAAAAATAAGCACCTACTCAAGAGAGTATGCCATTTCGGATGCAACCGACACCCCATGTGGTTAGTGCACGTCCCGTAATGTTTACGCATTAAGTGAGTAGGCGATAATGTTTCGACTACCTCTGAAAGTGGACAAGCTCAAAGCGTTTGACACCTGTATTTAGCGGCGTCCAAAATGCATATTAATACCAGGTGTAAACAGAGACTTAACCAGATAAAAACGCAAATCATTGGGTTTCCTTAAAATAAATAAATAACTACCATTGGTCAATTAGTTATCAACTTTATTGGTAATTTACTAGGTGTTACTATACTGTCTCTCTAGACACGAATATAGGTACATAAAATAAGCTACATAAAACGTTACAAAAGTATATCAGACGCTTTTAAGTACATTCAAAGAGGCAAATGAACATTAGTCGAGACACCAAAGAAATTAAAAGCAGCCTCTAGCGCAATTCATTATTACACTCAGTGCATAAACGACATGTAACAGTTTGAGTGTTTGACTAATGCTGGGCTTTGTTAGAAGTTTATCAGAGTGATTTTGCAAATACATACATTCTCCACCACCCCACACACACACACACACACACTCAGATAAATACAGAGCAGAAAACAGGCTGTTGGGGTAAGGGCAGCTCATACGATGTCCCGGGTTCGTCGGATGGCGCAGCACAGCAGCATGCTGAAGATCATGCCAAAGATCTGCCAACCAAAAAGACACGGGTTAATATCTGACACCAGTGTGACAAGAATCTCCTCAGGTGACCATGCACAAGAGCATCTACTCACCATGATCACCCCAATGCCAATCCCAACTCCTCCGATCACTTGAAGCCTGGATGTGAAGCTCTCCTCAATAGCACTTGGGCAGCTCTGGAGCAGAAACAAAAGGGGTGAATATGATACACGGGAAAAACACAACATATAACCGAAGAGATTAAAGATTATTTATTGAGTTCCTGGTACCGTTGTGACAATGATTTCCAATCCCTCCTTTTTGGGACAGATATCATTTACTGCATCAGTCGGCAGTCCTGTTTTTCCACAGCAGTTCAACTAAACAATAGCACACAGAAAAACGTCAGTCAGATTAAAGTTAAACTTTGTCCTGCATTGGTTTGGACAAACCATAAAAATGAACTCACTCCATAGTGAATTGCTCGCAGTGTTTCCCTCAGCGCTTCCTGATTAGTGTTTTTGTAGTTGTCAAATGTCTGCTTGTAGAAATCCTGGATATCAGTCACAACCTGAGAAGGAAGAGGGAAAGAAAGGGGACCCACTGTGAGAAAATTAAAGGGGTCATGAACTGGCTTTTTACATTTTTTTATATTGTTGTCTGAGGTCAACTTATGACGTACGCTTGGTTTTTACATTAAAAAACATCAAATGAATAAGTAATAGGCTGTTTTCTACCCTAGATTTAAGCCCAGCTCAAAAAAGCTCGGTTTTTATGGGCGTCTCGCACTGAAGACTTGGAAGAAAACACTCACTGCTGTGATTGGATAACAGTTTTGCATATAATGAGTTTCACTCTCGTTCCGGTTTGTCATCACGGGGTGTTATTTAGCTATGCGTGTAATGCTCGAATCGGTGGGCGGGGCTAAACTGGCCGTGTTGAAGTAGGCGTTGATCTTCTGCGGGGGTGGTGTTTCATCCTCTTTGAGGTCATAGTTCCCCACTTTGAAAAACGAGTCCTTTGCTAAGCCTGGTGTCAATAAAAGCTTTTATTGTACCAACAAGGACATTTTCAGTTCTGAAACTTACAGGGCATTCTTATAATATCTTCGATGTCTCTTAATGTCAAAAGCTCAAGGAAAATTAGATTTCTCAGTTCATACCCTTAAACAGGTAACAGGAGAAAAAGAGTATGAATGTCACCCACCTTTTCCTTATTGGACAATCCCCAGATTCCAGCGGCCACCTCTGCAGCAAAAATGACGAGCAGGAACACAAAGAACTGGAGGCAGCAAGAAAAAGGGAGAGATGAGGTGAACAAGGACATCAGCAAAAAGCACTTAAAACAAAAACATTTTCATTTCTTGGCAAAGACGCTCTAAAGTGCATGTGAATTTTCATTCGGTCTGTTCAAAATATCCATAAAAAAAAACATGGGTTGTGACAGTCAGCGAAATTAAATAAAAATCTAAAAATGAACCTACATACAGATACTAATAATGACATTGTGTCAATAATCGGACAAATTTCCCTGTGCATAAACATGAATGTTTTCAAGAGGTTGGAGTAATGGGCGTGACGGAAGTTCTTTATCATAGGTCGCAAAAGTGGTCTGTCAGGGTGCGGGTAGGGTTACCTTTCGGCACGGCCCTTAAATGCATCAAAATCAAATGCACTTTTTTACCTGATACCCGTTGTATCCTAAAGGGTACTTTACACAACAATGTACTAAAAACATGTTTTTGAAAAGTTTTGCGCACAGATCCCAGTTTACATGGATCAGCGACTAAACTGTATTCTGCCGTCATGTCACTTTGTAATAAACACTATGCACCTATAGACTGAACACGTAATACAAAAAAAATAACAATAATAATGTATTGACATCATGACATCACCACTTTCATAAATTCGCTTTTTTTGTAGTTTACATGGAGACGATAATGGTATCGTTGTAAAGAAAATTGTATTATTTTCATAAGTTCTCTGTTTGTTTGTTGATGTTGCGTAAACACTTCGAATATGAAAGTAAAAACTAATTCTTTTTGTTTTGTGCTGTAGAAGAATGTGGAAAGACTCACCATTCCCAGCATGCATGACGATTCTTTTATTGCTCCACAGCAGCCGAGGAACCCGACCACCATCATCACGGCACCTGCCACAATGAGGATATAGACCCCTGAGGACAGACAAAGACAGAATCTCTCTTATTCCCCTGTACCATTGCATTCATCTCACGTCTTTGGCTGGAAAAAATACTTGAAATCAGACACAAATTTTGCTTAATGTAGATGGTAACTTTTTCCTTTAGCTACAGAAAAAGAGTTATCAGAAAAAGATATGCAAAGAAAAATGCAAAAAACAAAATTCCATGCAAATGTTTTGTCATGTATCCATGAGGCCAATCGACACCACACAGATAAACACCAACAAACAACAAGTCGGCTGTTGGATTTAGAATTTTATGAAAAATAACTCATGTTCACACTGCCCCAACAGACACCGACAAAAGTGGATTGAACATGTTCAGTCGGGTGAAAACAAACCCTGACCAATGCTACCAGAAACCGACGGGTGCCACACACACTGATCTGCTAAAACCCAACAAATGTACGTGTTTGATGGCTTTTGTTGAAACGGCGTGAATTGGCCTGTAGACTAAAACACCAGTCCACTAGCTGCTCTTCTGAATAGTCTGTCAGGAGAATGTTTGGCATTCCAGGACTGCTTTCGGGAAACCTCTGGCAGATAGGCTACTTGGACACTTTCCCACTGAGTTTATTATGTTTTTACATATGTTGAGGCGAGAATTCTTCTTACAGCTCTTGAGGAAAGTAAACCAAGCAAAACAAAAGGAGGTGGGATGGGAGCAAACAATGCGGGTTCTGTTGGTGAGGAGGAGAAAGGCATCTCTGTGAGGGATGATGGCAAGGGGCAGAGAGCGGACATCGTGTGGACCAAAGCCAGCCTCCTCCAAAACAGCACTGCCATTATAGCTCAACAAACCTGACTCTTAAAAAACAAACACGCAGACAGAAACCCAACATCCTGCTCTCTACAGTATATTTAGGTTGTTTTCCCCCGTCAAAAACTGTGCTATGTTTTATAAGGGTGGTGGTTTGTGGTTTAAAGTTCTAGTTGCTGCTTAGGGTTGTTGCTTTGTGGTCTTTATCAGCAAGAAATTTTATCTTTGGGTCTTTCCTAAAAACAAACATAGCATAGAAGAATAGATGGAGTGCTTTGAATTTTTGACGCGTTTTGTAGTCGCCATGCCATTTGCGTTGCTTTAAGAACTGGATTGTACAGTGAACGTTCAATGACCGTGTCAGGGTGATGTCGTTGTTATGCACAACTGTTCAGAATCATTTATAAATATTAGTCTCTTAAGCTTAACAATGCTGCATTCATTTGACCAATTACAGTAAAACATTCAAATTCAGTTGCAAATTTGCATATTAGAATGATTTCTGAAGGATCATGTGACACTGAAGATCATGCTGAAAAATCAGCTTTGCCATCACAGAATACATTATATTATAAAATAGAAAATATTTCTTTAATATTTCATAAATGTACTGGTTTTTTGACTGTATTTTTGATCAAATAAGCTTTGGTGAGCACAAGAGACTTCTTTCAAAAACATAAAAAAACAAAACAGGAATACATACATATTCTGATCAACTATAGAGAAGCCAAAACAACT